ATCGACGCAGACGGCCATAGAACTGAACGTTAGAACATGCCCTACGCGAAGAAATACGTGGCAGATTAACGAAACGACCATTCGTCGTGCGGTTACCCACTATTCTTGCTATTAATCCTCGCTACTACGTGTTTAATAGCATGTTATTTATAAAGTGTATACAATGCGTGTATACACTATTTTTGTATTTCCTTGTATTATCCTGACCAACTTCTTTTTCAAGAAAAATCCTTATTCACTGTTGAAGCTTTTATCTAGAAGATTTACCTCACCTCTCTTCTGTTTACTTTCCCTCTGGTCATATCACTCTATATCTTCTACTTTCACATATCCGTAAATTATCCATACTATCAATATTCTTATTATCCATATAATCTACCTTCTCCCCTTTCCGCAAGGGTTGCAGGAGTTATGTTTTACCCCGGCGTGTGTTTGTTGGTTTGTGGGTTTGTGCGTTTGTTTGTTGTGTATACCAGCCTACTAATAAATTATAGACGATTGTCAATAAAAAAAATTTTCTTACGGATTTATTGGTTCAAAATCCGGGCTAATCTTAGATTATTGATTAGATTCTTCGGTGTGATCCACCCGGATCTCACATTAATCTCTGAATGACTTATTACTAAATAATAATTTTCAGGATAGGTCAGAAATGGGCTAACTTAAGAATGATTACATTTTGGTGTGATCGCTGGTTCATCCAATTACCATGAATGAATAATTAATAATTAATATCAACCTCATTTACTGCAGGATAGGTCAGAATTCTGGTAAACTTAGAATTGACTCCACACTTATCCCCCCGGTGCAGTGAACCGATCCATTACCATGAACCAATGAATTATTAAATTAATAAAATTTTCAGATACGGTAGAAATGGGGTAACTTAGATGATTACATTTTGTGGTGAAGCGGATCCATTAATTTATTTAATTAATTAATCAATTATAAAATATTGTTTCACAGTGAGAGAATTGACTGCCTTGGCGCAGGTCTGCGCTCTCCGAGTGCCTCTATTTGTATATTATTATTTAAATTTAAAATGGATTTCTTTTAATTTATAGCTATTGGCCGATGATCCAACTCACAACTGACTGGCAATGTGAAGAGCACATGTGTGTATTATGGTGACTATATAGGAAATGTGATTTTTATAGGTTTTTATTATATTATACTATCATACCCTCGGCACAACAGCGCCACTGTGTACGACCCGTCGGAGAACTTTGGTTTCCGTCATCCTCTGCCTTTCCCCCTGCGGGCACGACTTCTCTCCTGCACCGCACAGCCTTCTCATGACGGCTGTTCGATGTGCATAAACCAAATTCACTATCAGTGCACACACGATGTATATCCCATCCATACATTACCGTGTCGCACTCCTCCACCGACTGTATTAGCTCGCACACCATCAAACTCAGTGTTACTTTCCAACGATCGTATATCCACACACCCCCCCCCTCTCCACAACCAATCATACTCGACTTTTTCGTGACATAGTGTCACAACCGATGTAATCAACACATGACAGTGTGTCACAACACTCATGTCATAAACACATACATAGTGCACACCCCACGTCCCCACGACTGCTATAAACAATGACATAAGTGTCAACACG